AGAAACTGCAGAAAGTGAAGGAGGAGCTGGCCGACGCCACGGTGAATCAAGGGCTCACTTTCGACGAGATGCACAGGAGGATCGACAAACTGAAGAGTCTCGTCACCGACGTGTCCAGAGGAGAGCGCTGCGAGCGGTGAGGGTCGACAGACCCAGTAGAACGCTGTCGAAACGGAAGGATGTGCCTGCGTGGTGTGCATGTACCGAGACTTCCGTCAGTGACAGTTGGGACACACGCGATGGGAACGGCGCTAAATGAAACGCATGGACGACATTGCGGAAGTGTGTCCACGTCGTTTTGCACCATTGCTTTGCGACTAAGAAAATTGTTACAGTAGGACGACGTACTGACTGTAGCCGAACGGTGAACATTTGTCTAAAAAAATCTAAGGAATGGTAGACAGACGCACTTAATTTTGCACCAGGACAATGTGAGGCATGCGGAAGATGTAGTACACCAATGACCTTGCGCGCAATTGATCGGCGCTGCAGCGTGCATTTCACGGACGGAAAGCTATAGCCAGCCGGCAGCAGTTTGATGGTGATCCTTTCGTCATTCAGTTTGATGGTGATTACCTCGAATTTCGTCATTCTCACCAATGTGACACGAGCCGCGCCATGGTTCTTCGAGCTGCAACCGTCACACAGGGAAGCAGGGAAATGACCGAAGTAAATTTCTTTCCGAACCATAACGTGAAACTTTTTGTTTCTTTCTTCGTCCACAATGAAATTGTTTAGAACAGTTACTTGTAGTGGTCTCACGCATATTACTTAAACAAATATTTGTTTTTTTTATGATTCCCCTACAGTTGTCCTGTAAGGAAGCATATTCTAGTGTTCTTGGTAAAGTGCATATAACACACGCGCTGACATTTCTCCCAGAAAGAACGCTAGCCGGAGGGCTAGACTCGTAGAGAGTTTTAGTACTGCGGAATGGTGCTCCGTACGCATCACGCAAGCGCCTTGCGTTACGTGGCGTCGTTTGCCACTAATCGGCTTTTAGTACGCCGTAGTACCCGCGTACGTAACGAGCGTGAAGCGTGTAGCGTCATCTGGTAGATCAAAATAGAAGCACGTGTTGTTGACAGCCAATGTGAGCCAATCCAAGTGTTATAGCCAGATTATGGCCATATTTTAAGCCACAGAGCCGGTCGGTGCTTGCCTTCGATGCCGCCATTTTGCAAAACGAAGTCTCGCGTTGTCGCGAACTTGTTCGAGAGCGGCGCGATCACCTCATACGTACGCACGCACGCATCTCATGCGTGCGTACGTAGCGACTGCGTACGTAACGCGATACGTGCGCGTTGCGGTCCGCGCATGCGCACTACGCAGAACGTGGCGTTCTTACATACGCAACGCCACCCCGTACGCAGTATTAAAACTCTCTTTTATTGATGTCGCGTCGCTGCCCAAGCATGAATAGGCATTCGTTGCGACTTCGTTCCGGCTCTATAGATGACTGGGTTATACTAATGTACACTACACCGCTAAAGCTGGCTTTCGTATCGTTGCCCAACCGCCCTCTCTAGGTATTTCGTATTCCACTTCGGTTGTACGCCTCGGCGGATCAGTGGATACGGGGGCTCTGCCACTGTTTCGAAGGTCGCGGATTCATCAAAACTTTGATTGGACCTCGTTGGTACGTAGCGTTTGAGGTGTAAACTGAAGAAAACCACATATTCGATCCAGGCCGCAGCTGTCGCGTTTTGGTGGGGGTGAAATCGGTAGGGTACGAAGTCGGATGGTCAAGATTTCCGGAGCCCTCCACGTACGGCATCTCCCATAGTCATACCGTCTTTCTGACGCGTAAAGCGACACATAATATCACCATGAAAAAAATAAATTCCACTCGCAGTTTGCAAGAGTGCGTCCTCAATTGAGCGTGATGCAGTCACTCGTACGTTGATTGTCGTGTGAGTCCCTGACCTTGAGCGTGATGCAGTCACTCGTGTGCTGATTCTCGTATGAGTCACTGATTGCTGCCACCGTTCAGCTAGCGAAAATTTGCGGGCGTAATCCTTCTCCGCTTAGAGGTGAACGCGCATATAGCATCGATTACCACGCGCGGTAGCTGCAAACACAGTCCGCGACGCTTGCGTGATCTCAGCTTTCCAGTTTTGGCTCATCAAGGCATCGCATATGATTCTGGAACAAAGAGTCGGCATGCATTTGACTATTTGCATATCGAAAGTGTAATACGAATCACTTTCTAGCACTCTGCATTTGCGACAGACTCTCTTGGGAACCAGTCCTTCCATCACCAGAAAGTGCAATATGTTTCTGCACAGCTGGGGGCGCCTGCGTGATCACTTGCGTTGCTTGGCTTCGCTGTCGCGTACTTACGCTTGCGATTAGTTCATGATTTGATATGTGGGGTTTAACGTCCCCAAACCACTATATGATTATGAGAGACGCCGTAGTGGAGGGCTCCGGAAATTTAGACCACCTGGGGTTCTTTAACGTGCACCCAAATCTGAGTACACGGGCCTACAACATTTCCGCCTCCATCGGAAATGCAGCCACCGCAGCCGGGATTTGAACCCACGACCTGCGGGTCAGCAGCCGAGTACCTTAGCCACTAGACCACCGCGGCGGGGCTGCGATTAGTTCAGGCTGTGTCTGAACTCTCGAACACAGGATTTTAATTTTTTTTTTCAATCACTTGAACTCCGCAGAGGCGTACTGAACGGGTATATCGCACGGGTGGTAATGTGACCTGTAGTAGGCCGAGTCACAACCGGCGATTAAAGAAATTATATATATATATATATATATATATATATATATATATATATATATATATATATATATATATATATATATATATATATATATATATATATATATATATTAAAATAGAGGTGTTGTACGTCGAGAAAGGTTCAGACGCAGCTTGGCAAAATGTGCTTTATTAGGCAGGTCTGGCTAATGGCGAGCGGCGTGCGCGAGCTACTACTACAGCCACCGATCATCATCGTCTTCTTCATTGCCAGCAGAGCGTCCGTTATTCAGATTCACTACAATATATATATATATATATATATATATATATATATATATATATATATATATATATATATATATATATAATATATATATATATATATATATATATATATATATATATATATATATATATATATATAGATGAAATAGATGATCAGAGTTTCTTCCGGCTACCGTAATAAAAGTTATAAACTTCGAGAATAGTGCAGTATAGGAAACAAAACAATAAAATATTTATTTAATCCTAACAGTTTCGGCTGGTGGACCAGCCTTCTTCGGAGGATCCAAGCGAAATGATACAATTGACAATTGTATCATTTCGCTTAGATCCTCCGAAGAAGGCTGGTCCACCAGCCGAAACTGTTAGGATTAAATAAATATTTTATTGTTTTGTTTCCTATACTGCCCTATTCTCGTAGTTTATATATATATATATATATATATATATATATATATATATATATATATATATATATATATATATATATATATATATATATATATATATATATATATATATATATATGCACAGAATGCACGTTGTCACATGGTACTAGTAGGCATTGCGGGTAGTGGGGGACGTCAAGTAGAGACTAGGAATGGGCACTGACACTGTCTACGCCAGTATACAATAGTGCCATTCACCTTACAGTCTTTCCATTACTCACCCCCCCCCCCCCCCCCCGCCCGCCCCTGAAAATTTCCTATGTGTGTGCACGCACACGTACTACACAACATGCATAAAAGGTAGTTCACCCCTCCCCACTACTCTCTCCCCCCAATTCAAAAAATAATCTGGCTGCGCCACTGGGCCCCACGTTGCCGCGTACCTCACGAATACATATACGAATAGACCTTGATCGTTGGCATGAAAGATTCCATTAAGGGCTGTTTGTCTCCGTGGCTCAAAGTTCCAGGTAAAAGTTCTTACTTCTGCCTCGGTTGTAGTAAAGTGAAAGGTAACGTTCCGAAGTTTCCCATTTTCACGTAACTTTATTGAATTAGTATGCCCGCTGAGCCTATGGAGAGATTAAATGGAAGCTGAAGCGATTTTAGAATTGAATCAAACTTCGTGTTTAGCAAGGATCACCATTATTGTTGACGATGCCATAATCGTTTTCGCGGTTGTAGCTGCAAAAGCTTTTAGAACAGGCGAAATAAAAGCTTGTCTTGCTCAGCCCCCGCTAGCGCGCTGAAAGTGCGGGCGTGAAAACATACGTCATCTTCGTTTCCTCTGGCCCGGAGCAAGTGTTCTTTCTGATCTTGCACCACTGCGTCCGTGACTAACCCAATACGTGCCGTTGCCGGAACTAATCGAAGAGGCCACGCTTCAGCAGTGCTGCTGTTGCAGGTGACGCGTCATATCGAGAATGACGTCACAGCGTTCGCTGGGCGTCTCAAAAGGCCCGGTGGCCACACCCACTTTTTTTTTCACCAAAAAGTGCTATTGGCGTTCACTTTTGAAAACCCTCACATCGCTTTTCTAATTAAGCGGGGATCATGCTGTCCTTACACGATTCTGTCATTTTTTTTTTCAGGAAAGTGCTTCAGTTTCCCTTTAATGAGACGCTCGCCGCGGTGTCCACATTCATTAGTTTTTCGACTCGTCTGCGTTGAGCACGTCTCTTACGTGATCATCTAGTCGATGCACGTGCATGAACATTACAAAGCATACTTTTATCTTGTTAAACAAGAAGGACCGTTGCACCTAAATGGCCATGTTGGAGTATAGCAGCATGATGGGACGTGCAGTTTGTGATGGCATGTTAATACTATCAGGTTAGCACACGGGAATGCTCGTTATTCGTGCATTAAGGCCAAAAACGTTCCAGGGGCGTTGCCGCATCGGTGTATATAGTATAACCGTCATGGGATTATGCTACTTTGTCATCAAAGCCGTCATGTTGGAGCACCTCTACCTTAAGAAACCGCGTCCGTGACGTCACATGCATCCTATCAATTCAATGCTTATAGTAATGAAATATCACACACAGTTCCACGAGGGTAAAATGTGGCGTCCAGTAACCAAACGCCCGTATTTGTATTTATATTCAACACGGTACAGTTGCTTCAGCATAACTATAATAAACAACTAAGACAACAAAAAAATGTGGGTGCTATAGCACTTCATCGCGGTGGGCAGCTTTCGGCAGGCCACTTTAATTTTATTGTTGCATTCGTGGCGTTCCCAACGTCTATACCGAACGCCGCAAAATGACGCATACTGCACACTCCCAAGATACACACACTCAATCGCACCCTGCATAGGAAAGCAAGCGGACGTGTCCTGCACGTTACATTTGTCCCGCGCGAGCACCCACGCATTTGTGCAGCATTCACGCGAGTTTCGCGCCGCGTATACGAAAAGATGAGGTCCGTGGAAGAATGTCCGACGTCTACGTATACACGCATTTCACGCGCGATTCTGTTGAGCGTTCCACGAGCGAGATCATGCATTGGGTCTAAATAACGCCGACGATATCGACGGCCAACGACGCTCCGTCGCCACAGCATATCACACAACGGCAGGTCGATGGAGGAGCGCAAAGATGCCGCTATACGGCGTCACGTGCCGTACACTGTCAACGTGCCGTCTTGGTCCCGGCTGCTGCCGTGATTGAACTCGCGCGCCGGTCTTCACTGAGTGGTGCGCATGCTCGACGTTGCCAGGCTATCGGCCGAAACCCCGGAAGTTTGGGCTGACCGGCAGGAACCGCGAGAAGGGAATTCTGTTGGCGATGCAGCTGGCGCCCGGCGGGTCGTAGCATTCCTTGATGGTCACCGACTCTCCCGGACTGCCGTCGTCTCCGGCGGTGGCCTCAGTGCCGCACTCGTGCGCGCGCCAGCCATCGAGACCCCGCTCCTGCGCTGTGCCTGCAAAATAATGTTGTCGAATGAGCGAACGTACTGGAAAACGTCAGTGGTGGTTTGGCGCCAAAATGCGAGAGGAATGCGTTGTCAGCGTATACCTTCAGTTACTTTCAGTTTTCTTGATAGTTAACACGAGTAAGTAGTGGAATAATATACAGTGTAACCGAGTTATAATACTGAAAAAAAATAAGAAACACACGATGAGCGTGGGTGCGTAAAATATTTCTCGTCTTGTGCATGCGTCTGACAGGGCTGGGTTCGTCGTTCGTTCAAGCTACGCGTACCAACAGGCCCACCACCAGTTTGTTCTATAGCCAAACTCTCGATCCTAAAAAGTCAGCAGCGCTGAAATTAGCCAAGCAAAACAGTAGGTCAGTCCACAGACAGTTCGAAGCAGTTTGAAGCAGACAGGCGGTCTGCTTCAAACTTTGTCCTCGGACACCTTGTTCTTCCACATATTCACAGAGCTTATGTATTAAAAGGAAGTTGCCTAATGTTGGGGCATGACTTGAGTCTGAAGGTGGTCGTTTAGGTAACATTTGTGTCTGTAATTTCATATAGTCACGTGTGCTTGCAAATACTGGTTCTTCGGACATGCTTCTTTAGAATGCATTCAATGTAGTTAATTCCAGCGATTTGCTCATTTCGTTTTCACAATGACTTGTGCTGGGGCTCAGATTGTATGAAGTTTCACACCACGAAAGAAATGACGCGGTTCCGAGTGCCGGCCAGTGTTCATTATTAATACTAACCTCGCACGTTAATTGGATGCCTGTTAATCCCGAATGATCGAAATCAATCCAGGGGAGAGAATATGTACGATGCGGAAAGGCAGGGAAGTTTTAACCGGAAAACAAGTATCTAGTTGGCTACCATGCACTGGGGAAGGATAAGGGGAGACAGAAAAGTAAGGAACAGAGAAATGAAAGAGGGAGGAAGAAAGGGAGGGAGACCGAAACACACGAACACAAACCTCGATCCAGTGAGGCTTAGTGTGTTGCTATGTGACTTTTAAACATCATCGTTTCAAGTGAGAGTGAAATGAAAATTGAGATATAGCATCGCAAGAGGCGGTAGTATACAGTTTTTATCATGCCGCTTTGATGAAACATACCGGGCACAGTGTTGTCAAGAAAGATGCCCACAAAGCCTCCGACAAACATGCTTGTGCTTAGCAGTACGCGGAACACCTGGTCGACTTCTGCGCTTCCTGTAAGGAAAGTGTAAAAAAAGAAGTCAGGGTTGACATGGTCAGCGTTTTACAAAAAAAAAAAAGATGTTTATTATAGCAAACAGCAATAACCACTAGACTTTCTCTGTACACGCGCGCGAAACATTGTCACGATCATATGCATAGCTTTGATTTGATTGATTGATTTGTAGGGTTTAACGTCCCAAAACCACCATATGATTATGAGAGACGCCCTAGTGGAGGGCTCCGGAAATTTCGACGACTTGGTGTTCTTTAACGTGCACCCAAATCTGAGCACACGGGCCTACAACATTTCCGACTCCATCGGAAATGCAGCCGCCGCAGCCGGGATTCGATCCCGCGACCTGCGGGTCAGCAGCCGAGTACCTTGGCCACTAGACCACCGCGGCGGGCCAATAAGCATAGTTTTTCCGTCTTGGAAACGTGCATACGTGCGTAGTTAAGTCGCTATAAAGCACATAGAAAAATGTGACAAACTAATCAAGGGTTTTAATCTCGACAGCTGCTTGAGACTCCTCGAAGAGCGGGCCGTAGGACTGTCTTCACCCATTCATGAATAAATGGCACGTTAATGAGGCCGCGCACGAGGTTTAAAACACGGTCTCGCAGATTAACGAGCAACTCGCATATGAGGAGCGTTGCCATTATGAGTCGGCCTCACCGGGGCCCAGCTTCTCTTGCCTGAGGACCGAATAGCACGTAAATCTGTTCTTCAAGAGAAAAAAAGACTTTGCCTCGAAAATTCGTTTCTGAGAGTGGCAAATATTATCCTGGTGGTGTACGTACCAGTAGCGATAGCTGCCGGGTGTCGGCGCACCCAGTCCGGCACGCAGAGGCCGAGGAACAACGAGGCGCCGAGGACGAACAGGTTCCGGGACGAGTTTAGGTCCACGAACTGCAGGCTGCTCAGACCGACGGCCGAGACGACGCTGAACATGACGATGAAGATGCCGCCCATGATGGGCTCCGGAATGGCGGCGAACAGGGCGCCCACCTTGCCCACCATGCCCAGCACGAGCATGATGGCCGCCCCGTACTGGATCACCCGTCGGCTGGCCACCTGCGTTCGATCGTCGCAGTTTACGCCCTCTTAGTATCGATTGCTTATAGAATCGAATAAGGCAGAAGTTCGGGGTGAAATGCAAGACTAAAGAGACGAGAAATTCTTGTACGTGGGATCTAGAGCCATTGTTTAGACAAGTTTGGTGAAGCAGGCATGACCGCTCGTCGAAACGTCGCCTGCAGTGACACCATGTGCAGAGTAGTTTCTCGTCTATTCTAGCGTTTTCTATTCATGCAGAATAAATTTGTGAATTGCGTTATTTCGCATTGAACAGTAGTTTTTTTTTTCCTATGATCTTGGATCTTGAGAGTCACCGGAGCTCCCGGAATCACATTTAGTTGCTGCACCGGGGATAAGACAAAGTTTGGTAACGAACACAACCTGCACGATTCCATGCAAAATGAGCTCTTTACAAGCGGTAATGATTGTACGGTAACCTTGGCTCTAAAGTTAAAGAATGCGGCCCTTAGTGATGTTGAGTTGACAGTGACCTTTATATCAGATTAACACTTTGCGTTGAATATGTGGTGTGACTGGCTTAATTAAAATAGAGGACGCTGCCACATTTGTCCTTTACTTTGGGATTCAAACCACTCAAATTGTTTGCGGAGTACTCGGGCTTTGCTCACTAGGTAATACCGTCGACGCTCCACGATACTTGCCTGTTTGATAACTTCATGAGTGTGCTTGTAATCGGAAATAGTTAAGCTCCGGACTACTTGTCCTTCCCTAGAGAGGGTAAGAGTGGAGTGTCATGTAGGGTGTGGTACATAGAGGTAGGCTTCTCTGTTGTGGTGTGGTGGGGATTACATTTGACGGTATTTTTCGTTAAGAGTATCAAATTATTCATACGCAAAACATGCGAAATACTGCCTCCAACTAAGAGGGCGCAGGCACGTCACCCTGTGTAAATAAAAAAAAAGCATGAACTGACGTTAGTACCTTGGTGATGCCGATGGCCCCAATGTTCTCGCTGTACGAGGTGAGCCCGCAGCCGGCGCCCCAGGCGGCAGCCAAGATGGAGCCCAGGCCTTCGACCATGATGCCGCGGTTGACGGCGTGCACGGGCGGGGCGGGGGCGCCCGAGAGGCGAGCGCAAGCGTGGTAGTCGCCCACGGACTCGACGACGGAAACGAGCACGCCGGCCAGCAGCCCGACCACGGCGCCCACGCTCACCGTCGGGAGGCCCCACTGGACTGCGCGCGGATAGACGGCGCTCAAGGACCACTCCGAAATGCAAACCGAAGTGAATAAATGGCTACCGGTATACGTACACGGATAGGCGACGTTGAACCAGTCGCTCTCCTTCAGCGCCCGCAGCTTGGTGTCCGTCCGGGCAGCGCTCTCAGGTCCGACGGCATCGGTGAGGGTCAGCGCTAGGCAGACTAGCCACATGATCCCGATCGTCATGATGATCTGGAGGTGGCAAAGGAGAAGGGGGGGTTGTTTAGTCACATGATGATTATTAGTGCAGTGGTGGTAAAATGTAGCGTTTATTTATTTATTTATTCAAAATACCTTATAGTCCCACTGAAGGGCATTGAATAAGGGGGCCGTATATATTTGCCAAATCTGTATTAATATCTATATCCGGATGCTACAATTCCGGTTGACCTGCCCGCCTTTCTTTCATTTCATTCTCTCTCTATAAATCAACACAATTGGCACGGAAATGCAATGGATTGATGATATACCGGAAAGAGCGAGAAGAGTGCCATCCTGCGCGGCCGGTGGGGCTCTTTGCGGTGCTTGGTGCCAACCACGGGCACGCGTACGTTGCGCAGGTACTGCGAGAACAGAGTCACCAGCGCCACGGTCCTGCGACATGAGAAAGGGGTCGCGATTCATAGGTGTAACTTGTACCGTCCGTGGCCATCCAGACGGGCAGACACAGTTTTTCGCCGTAATGCGGATGGTTTCTAGGAGCACTTGACCAGGTACAGCTGATCACAAGCACATTTAGGCAACGATTTCAGAAAACCTCGTCAAGAGCTAATGAACTATTTGTCTACTGTTCATTTAAGCTGAGCTTAGCGATGGCGTCATCACTGTCACCGCACCACAAATTATGATTCGGTTCTTGCCACAACTGTGCCCTTGCATGCGAAAGAAAAAAAAAAGCACCTGCTAGCGTTTGTTTAGAACTACGCAAGCATTCTCAACAAAACCCTGCCTTCGACGATGCATGCTGATACATTTATGAACAAAAAGAGATAGATGGATGGTGGAACTTTAAGATAATTATGACAATAAATATCGTCAAAGGGTGGTGCTAAGAACGACAGGTGTATCCACGAACCATCCCATACGAATATTCATCGCTCTGACTTGTCCCAAGTGTCCGCCTCGCTGAAACACTGACTATAGTGCACGTTATGTCAGTGCACATTAGGGAACACCAGATGGTCAAAATCTCCGGAGCCCTGCACTCTCTCATAATCCTATCGAGGTTTTGGGACATAAAACCCTAGATATTATTGTTGTTATTATTATTATTGACTTGTCTCACAAGTAGTAATGCGACCTGCCTCACTGGCCCAGTCACTAAGAACTGCACCTAAAGATCATGTGGTTGCATGTCTAATGCTTACCGTCGCTGCACTATCGAGCGAATACAATGGTATTTGAGCTTTCTGAGCTTTTTGAATTCTTTGACATAATTCCAGGTACCATAATACGCGTAATTTACAATGCGCACGAAAACCACATCCAAGCAAGAACCCCGCCGATGAAACATAGACACGCTATATGTTCAGCTGTCAAAAACACGTTGTTTCACTTATGTTAGTTCCTGTTCGCTGCAACCAGAAGGATTCTGCTACAACGGTCGAGGTGGCCTGGCATCCACCAGCATCTTATAATACAGGTGTATTGGATCAACCGAGCTCTATAGTTTCCCTATCACATAGAAAAGTCCTGACGTCACTTTTCAGCAAAGGAGAATTCTCAAGGTACCCAATTGGTCTTAAACGTCTACTTTGCTTCTTGTTCCAATTTGTGATGGAACAGTTACGAGGATGGTGGTTTTTGGCAACGCAATTAATGATAAATTATGTTGCAGTAACAAAGAGCGAAAACGTAAGTAAGCTTTAGTGCCAAGATCCCAAGCGGCTTACGTACGCGCGCTCTTGAGTTGCTTCGTAATCAAAACCACACCGTTGGAGAATTCAAAGACGCAAGGGCTTACGCACGCAAGCAACTTTGATGCCCCGGCACTAAATTCATCTATAAAAGAAAAAAAAAACAAAAACAAAAAACAACGCGCTGGCGGAACACTCATCGTCTAATCTTTTTTTTTTTTCTCGACTAGTACACAACGTCTTTTGACGCTGCAACCTAATTACGTCACCGCGCCATCTCCCGTGGCTTTCGATCCTCTTGCAATACACGCCTTTTTTGAGAGAAGCTGTTAGACAAAAAGGTCAAGTCACTAAAGCATACACTGCGGACATATATGCCTATATTTCTACATAACACAAAAGAGATATTATATTAATAATTGTTCAGGTTTGGCATAGATTTCGACCACCTGGGGTTCTCTAACACTCACCTAAATCTATGCACACGACTTTCAAACATTTCTACCTCCATGAAAAAAAAAAAAAGCAAACGCCACAGCCGGGATTCGATTCCGCGTCCTGCAGTTTGCAGGCCAGCAGTCAAACAGAATAACCATTCAACCACCATGGTAGGTCGCAGCTTAAATAGGCTGCACAGAAATCGACTTGGAAAAGCAAAAAAGAAAAACGAAAGGAAGGTCCTGCGCAGTAATCGGCAGCGTTTTGCAGGTTCATGTTGTGGGCTACGCCCTGCTTTGCTGCGAAACAAAACTTTAAGATTGCTTCGTGCTCGCACACATGCAAACGACCCGCAGATATGATTGCCCGAGGAAAAAGGTTTCGTTATAATTACGGTGTGCGCAGCGTATTTTGCGTAACGGCGCTTACGAGAGTGCGACAGGCCAGTTAGTTTGGGCGTGGTGAGATGCCTCCGGGAACAGCGAGAGTCCGATGAGCGCGATGGTGGGCGTGATGCCCAGTGGCGTGATCCAGCGAGTGAGCAGGCCCACCAGGCCCGTGGCCCCTGCCAACACCTCGAACACGGAAGCGACCATGATGGCACCTTGCACCTGCGTTGATAATGATGCTGTCAATCAAAAAAAAAAAATTAAGGAAAAACAACCGTTTGTGGCCGGTCATTACCTAACGTAATATGAAAGGCGATTCACTATTTGACGATTGTTCAAAAGCCTCGCTTCTGTTTGAAGATAATCAATACAGATGCATTCGGCAACAGTAAGTGCATTTATCAAACTTGCGCTGTCACAGAAGTCTTTTACCACTGGTATAACCAAGAGGGGGTGCAAGATCTCAGCTGCGACATTTTCCAATGTTGCATGCCACGGATGCAGGCGATCGGCATCCCTGCCCTGACCGTTATTGTCGTGGACACAGCGTGCCTTCTGTCAGAATATAGGGCCTCATTAAATGTGAGGCCCACGGGTCGGTTATAGATCTCTTTCGTGGTGGAGCACCTAGTACTCTAAATCGTTACCCACTTTTTCTAAACACAATGCACACACGAACATGAAGTATAGTTGACCCCCCCCCCCCAACACACACACACTCCCCCTCCAAAAAACGTACTGGCAAGGCTTTGCTATTGGTTTTTTACCTTCTGCACGCTCACCATTCAGTTATCTGAAGCAGTCGATCAAGGGCCACCGATAAGGAATTGGCCGACTCTGGAGCGGTCTTCATCTTTGCTTGTCGCGGCAGCTTAGTGTTCAATACATATGTGAGTGCACTTAGAATTTCACGACGGAAGGCAGCTACCATAGCTGGTTAGCTCATAACGGCTCACCATAACGTCGCGCAAGGACGTTTTACGGGATGAACCTCTTCGCATATATATATATATATATATATATATATATATATATATATATATATATATATATATATATATATATATATATATATATATATATATGGTGTGGACGCTTCACAGATCTCAGTACCAACATCTATAATGTAAGGAGCATCTACACACTTTAAACGGTATCTAATAGCCTGCTTTGTTGTTTGTCTTGCTTTGTTTTTACATCCACTCTATGTCACATAACCGACTCTGGGAGATTGGCCTGCATCACTGTGATATCCTCCTCATCATCACCATCTTCTTATTTATTATAACCAACATAATCACCATCAACATGCAATTCGATGACCGAATATAGTTCCATGCTTTGTCGTGGGTACGCATACGCTTTTTCATTGGCGATTCCTTGTCTTAGTTTTTTACAGCGTATTTTCTAAACCACACAAATATACCTATGCGAAATCACTCCCAATTTATTGCTTTAAAGATTTCCGCTCCGTGATTTCTTGTTAGCACTTTAATAGTTGTGTGATGAGATGAAAATGGCGTCGATGACGCATAGTTCCGGTTTCTGCAGTTGTGTCCGGCGCACGCCGTTTAAAAGCCTACCCTACGAGACTGATCTTTGTTATGCCTTGAGTGACCTAGTCATGCCACTTAAAGCGAGGGTGCGTACCGGGCTCTAAAACAGAGATGAGCATAAAAGATTTGTGTCAGGAAAAACCCGAAGCTCCCTTTACGCGCCTGTCACATAATAACATGCATAAAAGAGGGTACGCTCAAAATATGCCTTATGCGTTTGGATACGAGCTTGCCAGTATATGACACGTCGTCTTCGCAAGTGCGCAACTAAAAGAAAGAAAAAAAAAGAAATCGGCGGATCTGTTACCACCCTTGGCGAAGGACGTTCGGATGAGCTAGAGATCCCCGCTCCCATTCAAGGTGATTTGCCTATAACGTACCTCTACAGCGGACACGACTGCATCTTCAGCGCGTACTCTTCGCTGGATATAATCTGCCGTGACATAAAGGTTGTGTTATGCGGGGATGCGTAATGCGAGATTTCCGGCACAAGGATCTAGCATATCACGTCAGGTGTCGCTGTGTAAAAAAAGAAAAGACTATAGCGCTCAGGTTACACAACGGGTAAGTACAGCAGGGTGGGGTTCGGATGGAATTAATGTTCGTCGCTGCAGCGATAAAAGGGAACGACACACGTACAGAGTGCGCCGCCATTCCAACATAATCTATAAAACTCCAGCTCTAAAAACGCTTGATGGAGGTCGGAAGGCGCAGTGGCGTCTTGCGATGCACGATGACTGCCTCGCCCGAGATAGCTGTGAATCGGGAACGCGGAGAACGGACTTCTTTGAGAAGCAGCGGGATTAACTCCAATAGCGACCTTCGATGAAACTCCTTACTTTCTTTTTAATGGGTGGCGTACTTTTACAATCTTCGAGCGCTTTTATTTTTAAGATAACGCGAGTCGCGCGCATGCTTTCGATGATCAAGTTCGGTCGGCACGCGAATCAGTTTTTTTTCAGTTTTTGTTGTTTTACGTACAAACAGCGTCGCTATCGATTTGTGCGATGCGTGGCTCTGCCTTATCCGGCAGCTGATTTAAACAAAATATGTATCCCCCCCCCCTTTTTTTTTACTAAACAAAAAGAAGAGATAGTATACGAGTTGGGAGCTATTTATAGGCGATAAAATGAAATAACTGCTTGCAAAAAGTGGGAAAAAATTCCAAAGGTTCATGTTTATCATGTCACGGTGTCGCAAGGGCCGCAGCTTTGCCCGGCTCACCTCGAGGTCGAATTGTTTTGTTTAGCCTGCGGCGGTCACATTTCGATGGGGGATCGACCCTAAAGAGGCCCTCCTTAACGCTTGAAAACATTGGTACAGACTGCATAGCTCTTGGTGGTGCTCGCCAGAACTATTGCGAGTGGAAATGACAACGGAAGGCGCGAAAAGCCGGTCGAAGAATGCGCTGAACACCACGGCAATAGAGGAAGCGCACAGGGGACGCTCTATGCACCGTTGTTTGAAGAAACTAAGAGAAAAGAATGTAAGAGCGTTGATATATAGACGCCATCGCAAAAAGAAGGATCAGTAAAGCTACAGAACTTATAGAAGCGTTCGTGAGCTGCCTCAGTTTCACACGTGTCGTTCCCCTGTTCAAGTACCAAATTATTTGTTACCATCGCGAATGGTGTCCTCAGTACGTTGTACATAACGGGCAATATGGCATGCAAGCTTCTTTTACAGTATAGGCCGTTCAGTTCATTTCATTACACAGCCTTATGACGTCACAGGGCGAGGGAAACACGATCAGGTGAGCCGCGAATATTGAAGTGAGGGTAAACATCCATTTCATTGTATTTTGATATCTCTACGCTGAATAACTTTGCACTGCGTGCCCCTATCACTTTCGTTCTTGCGGCACTTATCTCTTAAGTCTTCAGTGTACGCAACCAGCTAAAAATAAAAATGTGAAACAATGAGGTCGTGAAAAGTGATACAAGGCACCTTCAAAAGCGCTATAGTATTTAGATCTAGATGCATGTAAAGAACCACGCGTTATCGGGGGGGGGGGGGGGTCATAATTTAGTCCTTAATTATCTACTACGTAGCGTTCCCTCATAATCATACCGTTTCGGCACGCAAAACAGAAGTTTAGTTCATATCTGCCGGTTATGCAAAACTGGTTAACATTTCTTCCAATTCCCTCAATCATTTTCCTTCATTTTCTTACTTACCATCAATTGTGGAAGTTATGCATTGTGGGCAAATTATATTTAATTTCAATAAAGTTCTCTGTCTGTCCATCCGTCCGTCCGTCCGTCCGTCCGTCCGTCTGTCTGTCTGTCTGTCTGTCTGTCTGTCTGTCTGTCTTTTAATTTTGCCAAAGATATTGTTCTGGCGAGAGCCTGACGTTGTTTGCAGTGTACCTGAATTTAGGCACACGAAAACTTATTTACTTTCTTTTTTTTATTTCATGCACTGAAATGCACGGCTGCCGAAGATGGGAATAGAACCCACGGCCTCATTCTGTGCAACAAAAACGAGACTTTTCCGAGAAGCATATCTGATAACTGTGCTTGAATAATAATGCGCATGCGCATACTTCTTATGAGACGCACAAACTTACAAACACACAGGATGCTTACGAGCATGCAGCTTTGAAACGACCGCGAACTTCAATAAGATTGATTGATTTGTGGGGTTTAACGTCCCGAAACCACCATATGATTATGAGAGACGCCGTAGTGGAGGGCTCCGGAAATTTCGACCACCTGGGGTTCTTTAACGTGGACCCAAATCTGAGCACACGGGCCTACAACATTTCCGCCTCCATCGGAAATGCAGCCGCCGCAGCCGGGATTTGAACCCGTGACCTGCGGGTCAGCAACCGAGTACCTTAGCCACTAGACCACCGCGGCGGGGCTACGACCGCGAACTTCAATATCGTTTTGATTATTGCATACAGGATAAGTTTTCCCAAAGAAATCATGTTATTGGTAGAAGAGTACACCAACAAAATAATTGACAGCTCTATTGTCAAAACTACTAAATATGCAGACTGAGCTTGATTTGGACGGGTTGGTCTAGCATACTGAACAAAAAAGAAGCGGCACAAAGAGCACGGTGAATATAGTAAAACATGTACGAACTAGCAAGTCAGTTCATTTGAAGAAACACGAATAATTACACATGAAAAAAAAATATATATCGCCTCGATGACTTGCAAAGGCCCTATCGCGATATGAACTCAATCTCTTTTTGTTCAAGTGCCGATGAGGCACAGTGGAGTGCGTGTGCAAAGGATATCGCCATGAGAATGCGCATGGCCTTAGCACGTCATCATGGTGACATTGTTTCCTTAATGTATAAGTATTCGCGTTTCTTCAAATTGACTCACTTGCTGGTTTGCTATCACCTGTTGATAGTGCTTACTTGTAGTTCACGTGTTTCATAGCACACCGTTTTTTTTTCATTCAGTGCGCCAACAAACACGCCCTTCTAGGCAACCCGACAACCCTGCCAGGAAAGGCAGCTTTCGCGATCGACCGCCAAACTCTCGAAAATCCCGCGGGTCTGTTGCTTTCGCGTTTGTCGCATTTATTTCCACTGGAATTTCGACCTTGGCCTGTATTGCTAATTGTGAGTCGTTAACGGAAGCCTATGTGACTGCAGCTAAATATTTACGAAGAGGTTATACAATCGAGACCCCTTCACAAATTGAACGATATGAAACATGAATGACGACTTACTATTCTCTTCCGCCATGGCGTTTGCCACGCATTAACAAGCGGCATCCCGCGAAGTGTGCTTTCGGGCGAACTTCAACCTATCTCCAACCTGCGCAGAAGTCAAGGCTATAGGCTACCGTATCGAGGCTATACCGGATCTCGCATACCAGACTAACGCGTTCTTTCTTTCTCTTTTTTTTTCTCGGCTTCTCGACTGAGCGCACAGAAAAAGAGACACGCAGCCAGTGGAAGAGTAAACGTGCAGGGGCATTCCAGTATATAAAAAATATCTGTTTTTCAGGTGTCGGCAAGTCAGACTAGGGCAAAAATAAATAAATAAAACAAACTCATATCTATCTATCTATCTATCTATCTAGTATTTGGTTTTACGAATACGGCTCACTGCTCGTATCACGAATAATGCCACAATCCCGCCGCATACGTCGTCAAACACTTTCCAAAGAACAGAACCACATACTCGGGGGTAAGCATGTGCCACACTAAGCTAGGCATTTTATGTTCACCCAGGAACGGCGAGAACACACATGGGCAATTGTAACGCTTGATCACTTAGAAAAAAAGCGGACATCGGCAGCGTTGGCCGGACAAATGCAAAGATTAAGTCCCAGCAGGAATCGAGCCCTAGCATTCTGCGTGCCAATCAAGTATTCTACCACAGAGCCACGCCAGGTCTCGGATATAATTTTGAAATAGACGTTTTAAAGTAGACGTTTGACATTTCTTCGAAACTTCCTTTACGCTACGATGTAAGGATGGCCGCAGCTGCAGCTTGATGTGCGATCGGCTTTCTTTGTATTTAGTGATGACAGAAACCACATGCTCTTCACTTTTTTTTTAAGGTAAGGTCACCTTTTTCATTACATTTGTACTCTGTACCCGAAAACAATCAAAGTGGCAAATAAATAAATAAATAAATAAATAAATAAATAAATAAATAAATAAATAAATAAATAAATAAATAAAGGATGGAGCCTGTTGCGCCGCATCAACCTATGCGCGTAAAGCTTCAGGAATACGTGACTTCATCACGTATTCACGCATCACGTATTATTCTAGCGGCATACGTGATTAAACTACCGTAACCTAAATGTATAATATATGGTTTACATTAACATTCAAGCGTATGATGATATCTATTGGCCTCTTGGATAAATTTGTTTCGAGATGCGCATGCTTCGAACGCATATATAACACTCACTATGCTTGGCCTGCAAAGCTGCGTATGGTACGTAATGACATAGTATAAATCGCGATGTGCGCCGCGTGCTTCATCATGTCACTGCAACAACTATGTGGGCAACAGAACCTTTATGGCGACAGGCAAACAATTCGTGACTTCCAGCACAATATACTACTATGTGCACGTAATGATAGCCGTAACTTTCGCATGAGAGATGCGAGGAAATCGCCTTAAAAAGTTTGTCGTCGTTGGATGTAACCGGGTTGGCTACCTCGAGCATTCGCGGCCGCCAGTCGCTGCCTATGGGCGACGCTTCGACGCCGGCTCCTTGCGTCTCCGTGTGAGTGGGACACTTCCACTGCGGCAGCTGCAGGACGGCCAGGATGGGAACCAGATGCGCGAACGTCGAACCCTGCAGGCACACAGTTCAAGGGCAGGTTGGCAGACAAAGTGAACAACGCAAGCGCGCGCTGTGAGGAAGAACTTCAGACCACTGTTTGTAAACACACAACGGGAAGAAAGTGTCTTGTTATTTTCTTCGCATCGTGTGTAAAGATGCAGGTACGAAGGAAGGAATACAAAAGGCAGGGGGCTAGAAGTGCAGTCTACTAGAATAGTACACTGTACTGTACAGAACAGAACAGAACAGAAGGTTTTATTGTGCTAAATGAAGAAGAATACATGTGCATGATATACAGAAAGAGGTCCCATAGTCAGAGACTGCAAGGGGACCTCTTGTACAATGTAGAATTGAGAATGATTGTGATGTACATAGCAGGGAGACAGAGCTACAGTAAAATGCAATTGAAACAAATAAAGTAAGAATATACCCTTGTAATCTCACAGAAACAATTTAAATGTAAGAATAACGTGCTAATTTCAATGACAAGTGATTACAGAACGCAACTCACAATGAACAGGAATCAATTAAGAAACAGCAAAAACAGGCTAGTTAGTTGACATGATATGATTTTTTAACTTCAATTAAATTACCTTCAGGGAACGGCATACTTTAATGTCGGAAGGCAAACTATTCCAAAAATAAATTCCGGAAAAATGAATGGTTTGTTTGCCATAATTGGTGCGAACTTTTGGCAGTAGAAAGTTATTGTTAATCTTCTTTTAGTACACTGTACGGGAAGGTTTCACCAGATAGCAGTCCAGTTGGCTACCTTACGCAGGGGAAAAGGGAACGGGAATGAGAAAGATGAGAGAGACAGAGAGATAAAGATGCAGATATGCCAGCAAGCCCAACTTTGCTATACTGCACACGCACCACCATCACAGTTAAGTCAACACTGTCCACTGTATAAGTGTGCACAGTCTGATTAAAAAATGGTGCGTTTCGATGTGACTACGACAGAAGTTGGCATATCCTCGCATACGCCTTTCTTTCTGCATGTGTTTTATATTGCCGGCCCGTTGCTCGTTTTAGATACTGCCTTGCGCAAATTGCGCCAGAATGTCTTGGGAGCATTCCAGATTACCGCATATACGATCATCTTTAGGCTAGAGCGCACAAACGCGAAAGGCTGAGCTTATTCTCGAAATTACTCGGCTACCAGTGATGACGGTCGAATGTTTGACGCAGCGCGCGTAAATGCCGACGCGCCTTGCCACGGATCAGATTATCGATGGCTGACGCTTCGTCCGCCGATATCAGTGCACAGCGTGCATTGCTTGCTGCAGTGCGAGTTTGTCTCCCAGTCACAAGTTCGGCCAAATAGTTTTTTTTCTTGGACACGTGGACGGCTGTCTTTGTCAACGTCACCACCCCTTGACAATAATATATTCGTCATGAGAAGTTGTATGTCAGGGGCCTAAACCACGCAGCCCGTGACCCGCATGCAGCCACGCCCACGCATGACACTGTTCGTCACATATTCATATGCATATGCTCATGAGCATTCAACATTGCAAAACCGCACTCGCATCACTTTCCGGAATAGTGTTCTTACTAAGCAGTTGTTCGAATCAACTACAAGACGTGACTGATCCCAAGGACTTTTTGTCTTGAGCCGCTACATGCGGTCACTATGCGCTGAAATATAACCGTGCAACAAAAGCTGTATATTACTGAACTGAAGTCCGAATTTCAGTCATTTTGTAGGTTGATATGTTTCTCTAATCCTTACGAATCCTGACATCAAATTATTTTCGAAAATAATTCATATATATGATAAGTAAGAGGCCTTCTTGCCAATCACCTACTCCTTTCTTCCCAAAATAGCTTGGGAAGCTGCTTAATTTATTGTTGCTAAGCACAAATGCTGCTCCAAGCACAAATGTTGCTAAGCAAACATTTGTGCTTGGAGCAGCTCGCCAGCAAGAGATATGAAGAGGCGGAAAGGGCACTTCTAGAAAGTCGAGCACGTCAGCGCTACTTGTTGTCTCAAACAAATAAGGGGCTTCTATAGCGAGGCGTTGCATGCATGACTAAGGACTCTCCCGCTTTCGGAAAACCCGCGTGTATTGCACGGCCGCTCTCGCACTTGTTTACACACTGTAAACAAGTTCCCCCGACTGATAGGCTATCCCCAGATGAGGCTGTCGAAAAACAAAAAAAGGTTAGGCTTATCGATAAGCACTCGAACTTGTAAAGCACCCCTTTTGAATAGGGTGCGTTCGCGAAATGCAGTGGTTATGCGGAAGTGTCGTTCCGATCAAGTCCAGAGTTGAGTGATCGCTGACGTCGTACTCGACAGTCGCTCAAGGGCATACGATGAAAACACTATCGGTATCAGAATCACAGAACTATAGCTGGTGCCGTTTCTTGTTAAAACGTATCTATCTTAAAATGTCGTTGTATCAATATTTAAACACATCATTTTGAGAGCACAAAAAAGCCTATTACACACAAAAAATATGGCCAGGTCTTGTGTAAGAACCAGGTCACTTCACACGCAACCAGGTCTTTCTTTCGAAGCCTGAGATAGAGAGAGAGAGAAAATTTTATTGCGGAAAGGCAGGGAGGTTAACCAGAAAACATATCCGGTTTGCTACCCTGCACTGGGGAAAGGGTAAGGGGAAAGGGAGGAAGAGAAGCACAAACACACATACACACACTCGCACACAGTAGTGTCACAGTCGTTCTACGAGGCGGGTCGCTCGCAGAAACTTCATCAGCGCCTTCGTTGCTTTCTGGCGTGAAGCTCGATCTTTCCGACATTCCAAGATTGACTGCTCAGAAAATGGCTGGTCGTCGAGGCGAGCAAACACTGCTGAGAGGGACTGTCGCTGAGAGCTGTACTGGGGGCACTGACATAAAATATGTTCAATTGTTTCGTCATTGTCGCAATGGTCGCATGTAGCGCTGTCTCTCATTCCGATGCGGCAGGCAAAAGCGTTCGTGAAAGACACCCCAAGCCACATACGGCAGAGAAGGGTCGTCTCGGATCGGGGTAGGCCAGATGGAATAGTAAGTCGTAGGCATGGGTCCAGGCGGTGAAGACGGGTGTGGAGAAAACCGGGCGTATTCCGCATAGACCTTGCGACATCCTGCGCAAGCGTATTAATCTTTGCTGCTGCGTCGCTTCTTGATAGTGGAATGGGTTCCATCACTCCATTTTCGTGAGCATTCTTAGCTGCATTGTCGGCATGCTCGTTACCGATGATGCCGCAATGGCCTGGTAACCACTGAAAAGATATGTCATGTCCTTCGTCTATTAGGTGATGGTACAGTTGTCGTATTTCGAGCGCCAATTGATCTTGAGGTCCACGACGTAGAGTATTGTGTAGACATTGGAGAGCTGGTTTCGAATCAGTAAAAATGCTCCATTTTTGTGGTGTCTCTTGGTCAATCCTGCGGAGTGCGCTGCGGAGTGCCGCGAGCTCCACGGCTGTCGATGTCGTCTTGTGTGACGTTCTGAACTGGATGGTTTCGGCTCTTGCTGGGAAGATCACAGCTCCTGCAGATCCTCCAACAGTTGTCGAGCCATCCGTGTAAAGTTTGACATGATCTTTGTATTCTTCGTGTAGCATGAGTAGAATCATCTGCTTTAAAGCTGGCGCCGAGAGCTCCGCCTTCTTGCGAATCCCCGGCACTGTCAAGCGCAGTTTTGGTCGGTCCAAGCACCAAGGAGGTGTTAGTATCCGTTCCGGAGGTGTGTAGACTGTTGGAAGGCACTCACGGAAAGTCAATACTCTCTTACAGAAGGAGGCACTCGGTCGATCTTCTGGAAGCGAAGCTAGATGGTGGGCAGGGGCGCGAGCAAGGTGTCTAATATGAGCTCTAAGCACCTCCAAAGTAATGTGCACTGTGGCCGGATGATCTTTGGCGATTGCGATGGTTTCCGCTGTTGATGTACAGCGTGGTAATCCAAGACAAACTCTGAGTGCCTGGCCCTGGGCGTTTTCTATTGTGCGTATACTGCTTTTGCAAGCGTTCGTCAGAACCGGCCTGAGATATATGTTTTGAAAACCCTTCACAATGATGAAATGATGTGCACTCTGGATAGTCTCACTTATTGAGACGTGGAGCCAATATCCGCGAGCATAACACCTGTATCAGAGACTGATGCTTTAACACTTTATTTATTAACCTCTCGCATAAAAAAAAATGTCGACCACAGGGTTGGCCGGCACTCACGCATCCGCGTGTCAGCGTGAGACATAGCCTTGCGCACGTTAGCGTGAGACATATCCTTGTGCAGCGTACGCTGCTTGAACTTCCACTTTTCGAGGAATGATTGCTCACGTTTTTTTTTTGTTTAAGCGTTAAACATATCAAGCTAGAACTAGGTTTCTTAAAAAAATTACGGCATATTCACGGGGTGAATGATGATGAATGGGCGAAGCTCCGGAGGGATTCATCGGTAAACTGTGAATCTTCCGTGTAATTCGCCCAGTCGATCATCATGTAAAGACGTGAGAAACGCTGTGTGTGTATATACACAAATCAACTTTTATTTGTTCTTAGACGATGGATGGCTTGCGATGTCCCTTGCCTCGCGCGCTCGCACATCGGGATTCTGTCTGCGAGCGCGCGCTGCTGCCGCCTTGCGCTCTCTCCGCTGTGCAGCCTTATCCATCCGGCGACTCCGAGCGCGCGCCAACAGCGAACGGATTTTATTACAACGCTCCCCCTAGCGTACGTCGCCGCACTAAATCGAACGATTGCCTTCAACCAATGACACGCGCCATATGTGACATCATTCCTATTTTATAACATCTCGCGTCTTTCATCAACTACAAGTACCGCTTTCTAGTTTATAACATCTTGCATCTTTTCATCATCAGCTACAAGTGCCACCATCTAGTAAACACTACAAGAACTAAACGAGAGGTGGCTACATGGATGGATGCTATGAGCGTCCCCTTTATAACGGGGTGGTGACAAGTATGCCACCAAGCTCGACAAAAAAAAAAAAAAAAAAAAAAAAAACCTTTTTTCCTTTTTTTTATGTTGGCCTAATGCCTCTACTTCGATAAATTCTATCTTAATGGAAAAAAGGTAAATTTTCAGCTTAAGTTCTCTGCCATTTACGGCACACTGTCCATATTTTATTTTTCCAATATTTATTTTTGTCCTTTCTCTCTAATTTTCTGCCACCAATACTCTAACCTTCTCTTACTTATTTCAATCGCGGGTGTGTTCAGCTTTCCATTGTTGTCCCTAAAACCCAAGGCTTCCTGTAGGCTCGTGCCCAAACGTACACCTGGGTGGATATCTCCACATTCAATCAGAACATGCTCCGCCGTTTCCTTCTCTTTCCCGCAGCATGTGCATTGTTCTTCTTCTTTACTGAATCTTGCTTTATAACTACGCGTTCTAAGGCAACCCGATCTCGCTTCAAACAGTAAAGCGCTTCCCCTTGAATTATCGTAAAATGCCTCCCTCCTTATTTCATTTTTGCCCTTTCGGTAGTTACTCAAAGCCGGTTTTTTCTCCATAGCTGCCATCCAGTAAATCCTCTCCGCCTCCCTGACTTTTCCCTTAACGCTCTTTGTTGACATATGGCTCACAATACCAGCCGTATATTTACTAGTGAGTCTTCTAGTTCTTTTTCTCCACTGTGTGTCCACGCTCTTCCTATACAAATAACGGAACACCTTCTCTGCCCATCTACTCTCCTTCATATTTCTTAGCCTTTCTTCGAACCTTATTTTGCTCTGCGCTTCCCTCGCCTCAAAACCTGCCCACCCCATATCGCCCTTTACAGCCTCGTTTGTCGTCTTCCCGTGAGCACCCAACGCGAGGCGTCCCACAGTCCTTTGATTTACATCCATTCCCGATTGCACCTCTGCCCTCATGCACACCACTGAGTTCCCAAAAGTAAGCCCTGGAACCATTACACCCTTCCACAGACCTCGAAGCACCTCATACCTATTGTATCCCCACAACGCTCTGTGCTTCATTATTGCCGCATTCCTCTTTCCTTTTGCTGCCGAGGCTTTTTCCTGTACCTCCATGTATCTATCACTCTCATTTACCCATACTCCAAGGTACTTGTATTCACTTACCCTCGGTATTTCTTGGCCTTGTATGGACACCGTCTGATCACAGGGATCATTGAATACCATCAAACCACACTTCGTTACACTGAATCCTAGTCCAAGAGCTTCACCTTCCCTTCCGCATATATTCGCCAGCTGCTGTATATCATCTCGACTGTCCGCAAATAAGACGATATCGTCCGCATAAAATAAACCTGGAAGCTTCTGCTCAATCATCATGCCGCCCTGTTTGTGTGACAGATTAAAACCAATGTTGCTACCTTCTAGCGCTTTTTCCATACTCACCATGTACAGCATGAATAACAGTGGGGACAAAGGACATCCCTGTCTCAGACCCCTGCTAACCTCAACGTTCTCTTTGCTACGCATTCCTTCCCACTCTATGCAAACTGTATTTTCTCGGTATATCTCCCTCAAAAGCTGTATACAGTCGTCACCCATGCCCATTCCTTTCAATATATCCCACATAATTTCCTGATTAACGTTGTCGTATGCCCCAGTGATGTCTAGAAAAGCCACGTACAAGGGCCTATTCTCTATTTTAGATATTTCTATACACTGAGTGAGAACAAACAGGTTATCGTCTAACCGCCTGTCGACTCGAAATCCGTTCTGAAGTTCTCCCAAAATATCGTTATGTTCGGCCCATGTTTCTATTTTCATTTTTACTGCTTGCATCGCCAACCTGTATAGTACCGATGTAATGGTTAGTGGTCTATACGAGCGAATCTTGTCCTTTTCTCCCTTGCCTTTATAGATTAAGTTCATTCTACTTTGTCGCCAACTGTCCGGTATTTGTCCGTCCTTTAAGCTTTTTTCTACTGCTTTTAACAATGCTTCTTTAGTGTTATGTCCTAGTTCGTTAATGAGGCTAACGGGAATCCCATCTAAACCCGCGGCAGTGCGCTTTGGAATTTTTCCTTCGGCCTTTTTCCAGTTGAAATTATCTAGTACTAGCTCTTCCTCTGTTGCTTTTTCCGCCACACTTTTACTCACCGGGGAGATCCCCTGGACGCTTACAGGAGACGGTACCGCCATCTAGTGAACACTGCAAGAACTAAACTAGAGGTGGCTACATACAGGGGACGGTACCGCCATCTAGTGAACACTGCAACAACTAAACTAGAGGTGGCTACATACAGGCTACAGGGGACGCACAGCCCACGCCCTAAGGAGCTTCGCCCCTAAAATCTGATGTTGATTATTGGCTAAACGCGAGGAAGGGTAGCTGATTTACCAGGATGCTGCCACAGTTAGGTCTTTTTTTTTTCGTTTTTTGAAGAAAAAACAGTAAAGAACAAGCTTGGCGCTGCGCTAAAACTTGTCCATGTCCTTCTTCAAACTCCCCTCTCCCTTTCCCCCATCCATTAAAAAAAAAAGGGAAATAGACTGGCTGACCAGAGTTGAACCTCCAGCATACCTTCGAGAAGGGAAAGGTGGAAGCTTACGATGGAAAATTCTAAAGCAAAAGGTGGGTTATACTTTAAAGAAATGTAAGAAAAGCTTGCCCCACACCTCCCTTTTTTAAAGCCAATTGGTTATGTTGATATTGTGTTGGTGGCTATTTTTGATGTATACATGTGACGTTAACAAAGCAGTAATAAAGAATTGGCGTGCCTCTGCGGTAAATACTGCGCTGTCACGCAGATGGCTCGGGTTGGAATCCCATTCTAGCTCAATTTTTATTTCTTTTATTATAATTTTTCCGCCCATTAACATTTACAGTCACTGATCGTATCGGCGGTGGTGGAACACTATGGCGTTAAAAAAGGCTGTTGTAATCTCACATCAGCTTTCGCTGTTAAACAAATTATAAAGAGCCCTGCGCCATCCTATACCTCTCATAATATACGTTTCTTTCTGGCTAACCTCCCAGCTCTGTTTTGCCTCTTCTCTGTGTCTCTCTGGTCGTCAAAAAAGCACTACCATAACTGGCGCCTGAGAGTGTTTTGGGGAAAGAGGAAAATAGAAAAAAGGACGCAATGTTCTGCCTTCCGTCGTGGGGGCTCGGCTCGGCGCCTTTAGGGGTTGCTAAGGGGAAGTAAAAATGGTAGGAAGAAGAGAAGATAGAAAGAAGTGAGTTGCATGCCAAAATAGAGTCTTGTCAGCGTGGACGGGAGCACACAGGCAAAGCGTTCGGCTAACATCCGAATAGAGTTTGATCGTGTGGCTGCAGGCAATTAAGAATGGAAAAGAGCGTAGATGGAAGTATAGTGCCTACCTGGATGACGGGTAGGCGCACGCCGAAAGTTGCCTGCAGCAGCGTTCCCAGGCCGGACACGAAGAGGATGGTGGAGATGAGCTGCGCGCGTGCCGGATCATCCTCGGCGATGCACAGGTAGGGCGCCAGCAGGAACGGGTAGCTCACCGTGCCGCCCATCATGGTCAGGTAGTGCTGCACGTTCCGGACGCCGCTCGTAAGAACACATCCCGTACATCATCAGATGATGTAAGCAAATACCCTGACGCTATATCGGACGCGTAATCCGAAAGTTGTAAGCTCGGTCCCTACACCGGCATCAAGTTGTCTTTATATACACTCTATAGTTCTTTTCAATTTGTGTGATAAGTACAGCACTACAGTACAAGCGTACAAGTAGTGCATCCTACACCGTCCTCGGCTTCACTGTCCGTTGGTTTCACATGAAGCGTGTCTAACAAATAAAATGAGCCATTCGTAGAGTGAGACAATTCCTTTCTTTATTTTTATTTTTTTTGCTTCACATATGATGACTTTAACACGCTTCCCACCTCCCACCTTTTCCCGTTCGCGTGCAGATCTTCATATCCTATATCGTCGTACGAAAAAGCCCGGCTAAACATTCACTTTACGACAAAAGTATACGTCGTAATTCAGAATTAGAAAATAAATTTTATTTATTTTATTTGTTTGAGACTATTTATGCTAAAAGGCTTGTTCGCTTACTTTGCCCAAAAAGAGAAAAATCGGGAGTCTTTGCGGCGAAATGCATGGAGCAGGCGAAGGCGTGCGTAATGTTTTCTTTCTTTCTTTCTTTCTTTCTTTCTTTCTTTCTTTCTTTCTTTCTTTCTTTCTTTCTTTCTTTCTTTCTTTCTTTCTTTCTTTCTTTCTTTCTTTTCACGCCCAATGCTGCCCCTGAACTGTTTTCCTTCGGCCATTGCGAAAATGAGGCCTTCATCCGCGAGATTATTAGCGCAACACATCAGTTTCTCAGAAGCGCGAAAAATTGGGCAGGTCGGTCCATGTTTAGGTGCGAGAAAAACCAGCTAAAAGTCAAGAAAGACAGGGACGAAGAAGGCTGATTCAATCGACGACATTCCTGTGACGACGATGTGTGATTTAATGTATACCTTCTTTTTCGTCCCTGCATTGAGTGTTTTGCTGGCTTTTCTCGCAGCCAAACTTTGTATAGTTTCTACAGGCAACAACGACTGACGTGCGTTCATATCCAGTGCAAGAAACAGTGAACTGCGGCAACATGAAGTGACTGGCGACTTCGATCAAAGATTAGATTGACATATCGTGAACGACGGCTGACCACTGACAAGCCGACTATCGAACGAGCATCCTTTATTGGAAAACGGTGCAAGCAGATACACGCGCGCGTACGACAAGTGCACTTTCGAGGACCACATTTCTGCAACGTCGCCGGCACTTTTTTTTTTCTGCATATACAACGCTGCCACTGCGCTGTGTAATTATAAAAAGGTTTCTCTCGAAAACAGCAATCCCTTTTTGATGGTATTGTATAGGTTTCGCGTACCTGGAAGCCGAGTAACAGGCAAAGGTACCAGGGTGGAGTGTCGTTGACCCTGTAGATAACGGTGTCGCCCCTGGTCTTCTCCGTGGCCTCTGGAGTGGCGACCAGTACCGACGTGCCATTTGTCTGCTGCTTGCCGTTGGTCACATTGTTGACGAATGTGGTGGTGCCATTGTGGATGCCGTGTCCATTGGCAAGCTGCGCCTTGCCCGGAATCGGTTCCTGCGCAATCGTTACGTACAAAAAAAAAATCTCACCATGCTTCTTTTAAACAATAATTTCTTGTTTGTAAACAATAAGATTCATCGCAGTGTCGCCAGTCACACAGCCAATACCACACGACAAAGTATAAAGAAATCTGTTTCTTGGCCTACACAATTATATAAAGAAATCAATCGAACCACAAGGTTTAACCGTTTACTAAGAACGTGAAGCTTACAGTTTCCGTACTTCAAGTTCTGTTGAACACATTGTGCCATTCACATCTGCTTTGACTTGTATATTTGTTGGCAACTGCTGCGTTTCGGGGACATGCAAAACGCTTGAAAAATATCAAATCGCTTTGGACGTATCTTTGCACAGTTCGATAGCGGCTTCTTCGCGATACCCTGCGATTCACATTGAACAAACGAAGTCCTTCCCCAAGACCCACTTTTAACCAGTTCTATACTATTTACAACGTGGAGGTGGCTGTGCTCGGGTGGCGCAGCTAAAAGCGACTATGATAAGCTGCTTTGGAAACGGAACTTACCCCTACGCATCCTCACTCCGCCTACGCATCCTCACTCCGCCCCGTTGTGAATGCTTTCGTATTTTAGAGCCGCCTAGGCGCACTGGGCACCACGCGAGTTCGACTCGCTTTTGATTGCTCTTTGATAGGAGTCGTGTTATCGCGCCACTGATGCGTACAGAAGGCTTTAACAACCACCCGTTCTTGCACCCACGCGCCCACAGTTCCTTCCTAAAGTACACGCAAAAGACAAAAGCGGTCCGCCGTGGTGGAGCAAGGGTGACGGTGATCTGCTGCTGACCAGAAGGTCACGAGTTTGATTCCGGCCGTAGTGACCACATTTCGATGAAGGCGAAACACCATAGGCCTGTGTATATATACTGTGTGATGTCTGTGCGCTGAAGAAACTTATAGGAGCCTGCAACAGCGTGCGTCATAATCACATGGTGGCTTTGGCGCGCAAAACCCCAGATATTGTTATTAATAGTACATATTGCACACATCAACTTAAGGGACGCTAGGCGTACGTTCATAGGGTTTAATGGTAGCTGGCCTGAGGTCACAGGGCTAGAGAAACTAGGCCTAATTGAAGACTTACTCGGTTTCACCTTTTGTGGCATTCTAATGCATCATTCGTGCAATCGTATATCAATCAGTTTTCTTACGCATGTGGTACAACTGCGTAAACATAGCGATAAATCTTGGCGGTTAAAAGTGTTTGCTTGGTAGTTGCCCCAAAATTTTCTTATGCAGCTCCACGGCGACGTTTTTTAGCTGCTCCAGAAGATGCGCCGAAGTGACTTTGGTCGATTTCATCACTGCGTTATGGCATATGCCGGACATCCTTTGGATGTATTTTTGTTACGCGAAACTTTAGATCCATGGCGACAGACGTGAGGTTCGATGCTTAAGCACCACACACTTCAAGAGTGAACCGGTGCCTGTTACGTTAACGTAACTCGATGTTCACGGAGCATTATAGCGCCCTAACGCCCGTCCTTGGAGTAGGATGCTATCGAGCTGCCGCTGTTTATCAACTAGCACAAACAGATGATTCCCAATTGTTTATGCGACTGGCCTGCGGATGCAAGTGACCGCGTTTCCAGTCTATAGCTCGTGTGAACTACTCTCCACCACGACTGCAGGACGTTCTCCTTGAACCGTTGGGCCTGTTCGTTGTAGAGTGCTTAAAAAAAAATACCGGGACGCGGCGATAGACCGAAACGCGTTGACGAACGTGCAAAGAAAGGGAGATCGAATGGCACGCTGTTTCGCTTCTATCTCCACCATTACCTATGCAGTACCATATAGTATGACTCATACCAAAGTTGCCAACGCCAGGCATGTGCTGCGTATTCTTCGAAGCTTCATTCGTGCGTCAAAAAATAAAAATAAATAAATAATAAAATAATGGGAAAAACAACAAAGGAGATCGGGGCGATTGGCACGGAAGATAAGGGCCATACAAGCGTCCGCGTGACATCTTTGCAGAGCGCGCTCTGCGACTTGAAGGTCTTACGCTGGCGAGCACCAGCGCAGGAGCACCAGTGTTCTCCTAATTCTCGCCGAGGGAGTGGTCTGAATTGTTGCAGCGTGAAACGGCGGGAAAGCTCCGAAGTGAGCCAAGGACGATCGCTAGGAAAGAAGAAGGCTTTTTCCGCTCTGACCTTTCCTCTGACAGTGTACGCGCTTCGTCGCTTACGTGTACTCCGGAGGCGTTTGCTTTGCAGTTCCCGTTTCCTAAATGGCTCAGCTACCACTCTCCTCATTCGCAGTGGAAAACATTTAACAGCTTTATTCTAACATTCGGTATGCTGAAGTCCGTAAATGAGCCTGACGCATTGGTAATAAATACCTCAGCCGACATTCGTGGAGTTCTCGATAGGCGTCGCTATATCTATACAGCTTTCGTCAGTCTACAAAAAAAAAAAAAAAAGCCACGTATCTGTCTGCGCTCTGCGCGGCAAATGTCGTCGAAATACGATAGTCATCTGCTGGCCTTCTTTCGCGCAGCGTCACATTTTCAGCGCAGCCTAAGAAACACGAGGGTCTTTATAATTGCGTATCTACGCATTCCTTAGTAAAAGAACACACCGCCTAATACTTGCGTATTGACGTTGCGCCTCAGATATGCGTGATATTAGCTTTTTGATCGACAATGCTCGCAAGTATGAACGTAGCCACCAGTTCGAGATGGCTGGGCGTTCAGCAAGTGCTTAAACTTTTGCCGGGTGATGAACTCGTGCGACAAACTGAAAGACTGGCCAAAATTTCTGCGTTAAGGTATCCCAAGAAAGACTATCGTCCTTAATATCGCCTTTAACACCGTCATTACAAAATGTGCCAGAACATACACTAATCGTGGCGACTTTATCTGCTGGCAATCGAGATGACTAGCCGCGGGATCCATGACCACAAAGCGGTATACACAGCCGTCACCATCGCATTTCACTAGCTCAATGGGTCTGACGTTCTCTGACTTAGCACGATGTGCCAATATTGATGGCCAACCAAGGAACCATTCTGAGCTGTAATCCGAGCGCCACCGCGATTTGGGCACGTCTAAGTACATTCCATGGCATATGCTCCTACTGAACAAACATGGGTCTACGACTAGGGCGCCCCTCCAGGTTATTTGAAGTCAGATTGTTCCGTGGGTGAAGTGAAAGAAACAAAACAAAACGAAGGGCTCTTGTCTCGCAACGCGGGACCATACCAAGTCTTGCGTCAAGTTAGGGACGTAGACTACCAGATAGAGCCATTGCACTCTGATTTGACACCGAGTTCACCCCCTTTTGACATTGTGCATGTTTCGCGGATGAAACCCTACTTCTCTTACACTTCTTCTCTGGACTTGCGCCGATCCGGCGCTACAGCACCCGGGAGTCCTGTTACGGAGATGAAGTGAGGGCTGACCGGCGCGCCAGTGTGTCAGTCTGCCATCTTGACTCTGGTCTGTGTCTTTCCCAGTAAATAGATCTTGTGTATAATGCACCGACCCAGTAACAACATCATTACGAGTAACGCCGTAGTGGAGGACTTTGGAACTTTCGAGTATCTGGCATGCACTGACGTCACACAGTGGCATGTGACGTGCACTGACGTCACACAGTACACGGGCCTCTATCATTTCGCCTCTATCGAAATGCGACCACCACGACCAGGATCGAATCCGTGACCTTTGGGTCAGCAGCCGCGCACCCTTGCCACTGATCTTGGAATTAGCTGGTGCTAATTAACCAGGACTTGGAATTAGCCAGTGTGCCGTCAGGGTTACACTATTATCGTTGCATTGAACTGTTTGACACCGATATTCCTCTTACTGAGCAACTTATATAAAGAAATCCAAGAGCTTCCGCGGCTCTCACTGCTGTAGGAGCACCAAGGGTCTCAAACGGAGGTCCGTACACGTCCCTACAGGCGCAATTAAAAACCGAAGTGGGCTGGAGCTGACTGGACTCGGTCATTTTGTGGAATAGGGCTTCATTGGCACATGTCAGGTCCGTACAGGTAAAGATCTGCGTTTACCACGAGTGTTTTTTGCCGCATTTTGCTCTAAATGTGATTGTTTGATTTAAGAAGTTGGTTCTTCGTGGCAGTAGTGCTAACGTAAAGACAAGGTACGAACAAACGTGTTTTCTGTGTTTGTTCTTCCCATATCGTGCCGTTACGTTCGCACTGTTGTTAACGGCCTGATACGTGCTGATTAAATCCTGTTGTATGAAGCCTACAAAACACCTCCCCATATCATCCACCTCCCCGCTTCAGAAGACAGCAGAGAAAGATATATAGGAAGTCCCGCCATGGCTCTTTTTTCCTTAAAGCTTCATGCTCCTTTCCCCTTTTCCCCAGTACCAGAATTCTGAATTAATTCAGTAGAGTGAAGCTTTGGGCTAGTTGGTTTTGCAAGGTGGAGTATACGAACAGCGCGATATTCTACACGGGGACACAAAAGAGGAGACACATACAAGCACCGAATAAAAGCCTGGCCGGACACACACATGGACACGTACCGGAACTATTTAGACACTCGTGTGCGTAATTCCCCTCTAAACTGCCGATATACGCCGACGTGGTTTTTAACGTTAAACTGAGCAGCAACGTAGCGTGCACCACCTGTTGCCGTCTATTGCCGCGCCGGCGGCAAAACGGAAGCCGTTTTCCCGGACACCGGTTTCTTCGAACGGCACCATGGACGCGCTTTTGACCTCCAAATGAGGAAGCGGACTTACATTATTGTTTCTTTGCTGGAATACATACCCATGCGCTGATTTCATTAAGCGCTTGGAAACTTGGCCAAGTTGCCTGATATCACTACGATCTCGCTTCGATTAGCTACTTATTGTGACAGACAAGTGCACGTCGAAACTTGGACAGAGTCGCAGCAATCAGTTGATCGGTGGCCATGTGGCTGCTTCTGTTATACTCGAATCATTTCTCGCACCATAGTAATAAGCGTAGCGCAAATGTGCCGAGCCATCAGGTATGCCAG